TTCATAAAATACAATATTAAAATTTAATTAAAAGTTAAATTATTTTATAACTTAAAATTTAATTAATTGCCTCTCAACTTCAACTAAAATTAAATGAATTCTTTGAAATGGAAACCCTTTAAGTATCTTAAATTTCAAATTTGGCATTTCAATAAAAACAAAGTTCAGTGAAGGTTCAAGCCAGACTATGTGAATCTCGGTTTCTGTGCGGATACGCACGTATCTCTTATTTCCATGTCTTTGCACTCTGCACTGCATGTTTAATTCTCCTTTAATTTTTTTTCCTATTTTTAAACTGAGCAGACAACATTTAACCAAGATTTTTTCTACAACAAAAGTAAATATAGAAGAAGGACAAGAACCTTAAGAATTTTGACCTCTTGTCTGCTATTCATTTTATTTTTTTTTTATATTAATTTTCTACTTGTGCCATACATTCTTTTCATATATTTTTTTTTTTGTTGTGTCGTTCTTCTTGTAGTTTTGTATCTCAATAGTTTTTATATAAGTTAACAAAAGATCATTGATCTTGATCTGTGAGATTCTTTTGTGCAGACAGTAATCAAGTACGACGCTGAGCTATAAAAGTTTTTTTGTTGGCTACGAAATTTTTTTTTATTTTATAAATTATGACTAATACATAATGCAGTTATGTGTTTAGAAAAGATATCAAATCAATATGATCTTCAACAAATATGTGAAAATTAGATATATGATAATAATTAATACTAATTTTTTATTAATTAATTAATAAATTTTATAAGGCAATTTCAATTTGATTATTAAATACTCCTATATTTAAGAAAATTTAAATTTTTTGATATGATGTATTTACATTATATTTTGAATATTATGTATTTTTAAATTTTATGATTTAAATCCTAGTACTAATAACATACATTTCATTTAAGAAATTTACATAAAACGCCACATAAAAAAATTTTCTACAATATTAAGATTTTATAGAACATTTTTTTAAAATGAAATTTTATGTCAATATTCGAGCGAAATGTATGTTAGCACTAGACTTAATTTAGAAATATAGTTATATGTTAAATTAAAAAAAAGAATATTATATTGTCTGAAGTTCCAGACGATATAATATTCATTATAACATTATAAAAAATACATATTTATTAAAAGTTCTCTTAAGCAAACACCATCAGAATAAATAATTTAATCCGGGTAAAAGAATTGTCCATTCAAACTATATACTTTATATAAAAAATAAAGCCTGGTGACTCAAGACATTATACGTTCTAAACAGATGCCCGTCTACGAAAACATCTTTTTTACAGAACATCAACTGTTCGATTTATTCATATAAATCGTAGAATCAAAGGTACTATATTTTTTTTTTAATCTGTGGTTTTCAAGGATTTGTTTTTTTAATTAAAAACTAAAAAATATTTAATTAGAAAATACTTTATTACAATATTTGTAATATTAATATTAGTTATTTTCAAACATGATGAGCTTGAAATTCACATAAATTAAGTTTCATTATGCTTCGAAGTGAATCTTATTCTTTAAATCTTACAAGCATTAAATTCAAATTTCTGGAGAGCGATTCTGATTTTAAGAGGTCCCATTAGTTCGGCCGGACCTCTTGAATATATGAGAGTTTAAATGTTGTAGTTAATTTTTATGAGAATCTCATCTCTTCGTCGCATCGTTTTAAAGTAACGATATGAACCTAACAAGTCATCACAATAGTTCAAGTAAGATTAGTAAAATAGAACTTTTCTTATAGCACATATGTTATTATTTATACATTATATACTTTAAATAGGCTTACTTTTACTCAGTTATTTTAATTGACTTTTCTTTTTGAGGTTAAGAAAATAAGTTTAAACATATTATTTAGAGATAAAAATTATAAACCGTCGATGCTCCAAATTTTTACTATGCTAAGTATGTTAAAAATGTTTATTTGATTTTTTAATCTAATCTTAAAACCAACCTACGTCATTTCGTTTACGTATTTTTACTTGTTTAAATTAGCAACTTGAGTCACAACATCATGAACTTTTGTTTATCATAAAAAATGTATTTACTGTTTCCAAGAAGAAGGTTAAATAAATGAACTACAAACATTTGGAAGGTAAACTCAAACAATTGTATCTTTAATGCAGGTTCCTTAAATTATAGGATTAGAATTAGTTTAACATAAGAAGTTGTTGAATTAGAATTTAATGAAATACAAAATTCTCTATAAATTAAAAACAACAATTTAAATTTATTACCTTATTTCCTCATTTATAATTGTATTTAGACACGTTTTTGAATGATATTATATATACAATATACAATAGTATATTATTCTTGAATTATTCGAAACTATACGGATGTCTTAACTACCTACATATAATTAGATTTGTCTCAAAATGCAATTTTGTAGGTCGCAATTATTATTCAGTAACAACAAAAGTTTTATCAATTAAAATTAATTAAAATCATGAAAACATATATATACCGATAATTAATAAATCTCATGTCAATGTATAAAATTTAAATTATATAAAAAGATGTACCGCCGCCATTGAAATTATACCATATGTGTTTCTGACTGAGTGAAGCAAAAAGTATTTAGCTTTGTTCATTGATTTGGGATGGTTAGTTGCTTTTGAGTAATTAGTTGATTATTGAGAAATATTTTATTGAGATTATTGTTTCATATTAACAGCATAAATAACTAAAACTTCAAAAAAACAAATTCGTTGATATAACAATTATAATACGACAGTTAGAAATGCCATATAGAATGTTAATATTGTAAATTAACTACTAAAAAACTACTAGAAAATAATATACTAACTCTATCGTATTGTAAACTTAGATATACTAAAGGTGTTTCAAAAATAATATAATAAAATAAAATGAAATAATATAAATAACACCATAAATGCCACCTTATAGTAATAAAATAAAGATAAAAACCAATATAACAAAGTGCAAGCTAGCTGCACTATAAAACGAAAAAAGAATCATATTCTTTCACCGAAAATTATATAGTAGAGCTTAATATAAACATGTTTAGTATCAAAAAAAATTCTATATGGCGATAAAGAATATACTTTTGGCATTTCTAACACTCAAAACAATAAAGAAATCTAGCATAACTAAGTAATATTTACGTTTAATATGGTGAAAATGTCTTTATTACTCATATCACAAAATCATAGAGTCGAACTTGTTTACTGAAATGCCATACATTAATATAAACGAGAATTTGGCCTTAAAAACCAATTAATTTTAGAAATGCACTGAACGCAACTTATTGCTAAGTATCTGAAGCAGATTGGTAAAATGCGGAAGCTGCTCATATCTCAAATTAACAATAAAAAGGATATATTGAAATATATAATATATTATGTTATATTCTTAAAACTTTATATTTAATACAACTATTCTACAATAATTTAATACCAATTAGTATTAGGTGACTTCTATGTAGATAGGTAGGTAGATCTGGCGTAACGAAACTACGCGTAGACTTAGTAGGTTTAAACTACTTGTATTATTTGACTAACTGTAGTCGTAGAAGCATTAAAATCAAATTTTAGATATTGTTCATTATTCCAACAGGGACGAATTACTATTTGTCCTCAAAACTGCTACCTCAAAACTGATAGCTCTAATAAACCTTATTCGAATTTTCTTAAGAGCTGTAAAAAACTAAGAAGATATTTATATACAACAGAGGTGAATTTCCAAATATGTTAATTTAAGATACATATATGAGAATTAATATGATGTTATCTTTCACTATTTCATCATGTTTAATGTTATAAAGTTTTTGATTGGTAAATCTAAGATATTTTTTTTAACCGAAATTCACTTTCAGTACAATTTTCACACTCAAGATCAATGTATAACACTCGAGATTAATTTATAACACTCTAGATATTTTGTCAGAGTAGCAAAATTACCCTGCAATTAACAGCTGGTTTATATGATTTGACGGATAAAGTGTTATTTAATTCGATATATGTATTTATGAAGTATATAAATATCTACTAATACAACTACAAACATTTTTGATTACTTTAAAAATGTTCAATTAGACAACAAATTTTGACAGATAAAGTGTTAATCTAGAATGAATCCAGATTTACCAATCGAAAACGTCATTATATATATTATATGTTTATAAGTTGTAACTATATTGTGTATCATCTCAATAATTGGTAATAATAGTATTGTATACATTGTCTTAATTTTAATGTCAATTTATATAATTAGTTTATAACTCTCTCACATGATTTTTAATTAGATGTCAAATTTTAAATACCAAGATCAAATAAATATGAGAATTTTATAATATATTATTTACTTTTAAAATCCATTTCTATATATTAACTTACAAAGGAAAACTATTTAATCAATTTAATTTGTAATTTGAAAAATGTTTCATTAAATGAACGTGTATTATTTTCAAAAAATTACATGATTTATTGTAAAAGTAAAACTCATTAAACCTAATCAGAGATGGTGATGAAATAATCTCGCTTATGTAAAAAATATTAATCTTTTATTGAGTTATAAAATTTCGTAACATATTGTAAGGTTTTAGTTGAAAATATTTCATTATATTTTGAAATCCGCACGAACTAAAAGATCAACTGCTAAAAATATATATAATGAACTTAATACAATTTAACTTAACAGAATCTGTAAATTAACATTACTTTAACAGTAGCTGTATTTACATAAATACAGGTATACTAAAGTGATTACAGTATTAACTTTTTTTTGTGTATAAAATAATAAGCTAACTACATGCAAATATCAGGAAATCTATTCAAATCATATACTATTATATTTTCACAGAGATAAATAATTATCTTATAAAAACATTGTTAAGAAAACTGAATGCATGACAAAACCATTTAGCAAAATATTGTGTAAAAAAATAAATATAAATACATTATCTGTTATGAGAGCAGTCAACAATTAATTAAATAATATTTGTTGGAAAATGTTAATAAATTACTCACCAGAAAACAAAAATCCCGTGATTGATCGATCAGTGGAACGAACGTAACCAATTCTCGATCGCTACTTAAGTGAAATTGTAAATTTGAACTTAAATAGAAACTTAAATTTTAATTGAACACAATTACATGAAATTTTTTTTGAGATTTAATTACATTTACATTAATTAAATTTGAATACAATTATTATTTTAATTACATATTTTTAACACGAAGCCGAAAAGAATTGTTCGTGTTAAAAACCCACAAACGGCTACATTGGAAAACACAAATATTTTGAATAAAATGAACGTTTTTGGTGTTCCAAATGTCACTGACACTTTTTCTTTTAATTTTTTGTTTATTGTCTGTTTTTATTTAATTTTTATTTTTTTTAATAAAAAATTTCTCTCACTTTCGTCAATTTTATTGCACTTTTACTGCTTAGAAGAGAGTTAAGAAAATTATTTAAAATATATTTTATATTAGTTTGCAATAAGTATATATAGCTTCAATACTTTTATTGCTTAATTTTAAAATTTTATTTTTTACTAGAATAAATAAAAATTTTTTTAACAATTTTTTTAAAATTTTTTATACGAAATTTTATTTTAAACACGAAATGTTAACAGCAGACACGTTGTTACGATCACCGACGACAAATCTGAACTGTTTTTTGTCTCATTTGCTTTGTGAATTTGTTGTCATGAGTAGTTTTACTTTTCTACATTTTTTTTCTTTTTCAGCTCCATTAACTTATTTTAAGCTCAATAAAATGCCAGTGGGTTGGAGCCTCATTCGTACGTACACACAGAGAGTAACTTTAAATTAAGATACTCTTACAGATATTTAGACAAAGTTCTTAAATAACTTCAGCAATATTTAAAAATTTAAAGAATTAATTAAAATTTATATGATATTGAAATTTATTTAATTTTCAAAAAAAATTTTCAACATTTAAAATTCCTCTTCACTCTATATTTATTATTATATGTTACAATATTAAAATTGAACAGTATTTTTTCATATAAATTATAAGAAATGTCAAATTACAAAGTAATTATTTATTCCTTTATTTAAAGTACAATAGCCCTTTTTGTTACATTTTTGTTATTTCTTTAAAAAATACCTAGAAGTGTTTCTAAAATATTTTTAAAAATAAAATGCTTATATGCTTATATATATTTATTACTTACTTAATTAGTTGGACATTAGAGACGTGAGGTGTCCTTGGCCCTGTAGAGTAGCCTCCGCGAGGCAGCCCGATTAGTTGCTTACTGTCGCCAGTTTGTAGTACTGAGCGCCCACAAATCGTTGGTCACCTGGTCCTTCCACCGAAAATGAACACGTCGTCTACTCTGCGATTTCCACCTGCGGGTGGCATATAGTAACTTTATTGGAAAAGAGTATGAGTGGCTCCTATATGTAGACTTACAAAATATAAATTAGCGATGATATTGTGAAATAAAATTATTTATAAATTTTTCTAAAATTACTTCTACCATAACAAATTTATCGAACTACCAATTATATTATATAGTCAAATCGAAAAAGCAGTTAAGGTTTAAACTGTATTAATGATATACAACACATATTGCATATATTGCATTAATGATATACAACATCTATTGTAATACTAATAAATAGTCAGTTAAATAGTGTTATTAAAATAAATAGCACTTATATGTGAACTAGTGGTAATATTGTAATAAAGTTAACTGGTAAACTTCCTTAAATTCGGAAATCAACACACATACATATATTGTGAAATTTAAATGGAGTAATGGAGTACTCCATTAGTACTGCAACTCATTAAATAAAAATCTCAGGATTTTGTTAAAAATTGTAAGTTATAATAAGAACATTTCTGGAAACAGTCAGATTGCTCAACACCACCAAATTTCAAGAATATTTGAAATAATTTTAAAATCTGGAAAAATAATTGTGATATTCAGTATAAAGAGTAGACCATATCTGGCAATTGCGATCTATTAAATATTCACAGATCATATAATTATATCAATATGCTCATCTCAATAAATGTAAATAATTTCACACTGATATATACATATAACTCTAAAAACAATAGCTAGTTAATTTTAAAAAAAAGAACTGAAATGGAATCCAAAGGTCTACGTATCAAATTACTGCCTCAAATAATATATATAGCCCATAGCTTGCCGGTATTTCGAATTTTCTGTAAACAAGACTTAAAACCATTCATTGTTATCAGTAAATTTTAAGCTCCAAATTCAAAAATGAAACAGCTGATCGCAGTTTGTTTACACACTCGTGCCTTCTCAATTATAATCATCTGATCCATTTAGTATGTATGTATATATGATATACACAATATCTGATCGTATATATTTTATTCGGCAAATGGAATTTGACTCCGACTCTAGAGTCAAGTAAAAAAATTCTCATATTTCAATATTCACTGTAATTGATACACTTGACAAACAAGTTATAAATACACTTGATAGCACGAAAATTGAGTGAGTCTATAAGAGTTGCAATAGTTTCTAGAAAATGTATGCGAGAAATACGAAAATTTCGCATCTATCGCCTAAATAAATTAGTTAACAAATATGCGATTGCATACATTGTGACTTGAGCCATATATTTTTGAGGGGCACGACCAATAACTCTAGTAATTGCAATTCAATTTTTCGTATCTCTAAAAATTAATCATTTGAATAATTTTAAATTTAATTGTGTGAAATATATCCGGAATGTAGTATTAAGAGGCATCCAGTAAGGAATATTGTTTATATAGTAGGTTTTAGATCAATAATAGGCATATTGTTAGCATAAAATGTTTTCAAGAACTCTAGATGAATTTTTAACACCAATTATATAATAAATATAAACTCATTTTACCATCAGGATGAGCGTTTAACCTAAATGACAAGGAAATCTAAACTAAATTACTAAACATATTCTTACACTCATCTAGAAGATCTAAGATCAAAATTAACAGATTTTTACCATTGCACAATTTATTGTGTAAAGGAAATATTTTCACTAAAGAAAACAAACTATATAGTATATTTTGAATTCAAGTTATTTGGTTTATGATTTCGTTATTTAAATACTTATCACATGTTTCATGTATCATTGAAATATATTAAAAATGCAAGATAAATAGATAAATCCAAATATATTCAAGTGGTAGACTCCATACTTTTATGCTCTGACAATATGATATTATATTTGATAAGGACATCGTAACTGCTCTTGAAAAACTTTTTAAAGAAACTCGTTTTTCGGAATTGACAGCTATATTACTTTAATAAAAAAGACAACGTTTACACTCTTTGATATATATACTATATACATAAAACATAAAATAACTATACTTGTGATATCTGACTGATATTTGAGAAAGAGAAACTTCATAGTGAGATATGAATTTTCACACTAATGAGTGGAATACCTTTAAGTACTCAAATTGATATTTATTAAGGATGTAATCTTTTATTTCTATTTAATTTTTTATGAAATTATTTATAAACTACAATACATCGAAATTGTTTAAATATTCTGTAGCGCATTTTCGCATTTTAAAGGCTTTAAGTTTTTATTAACATGCCTATAGAGTGTACACCATTAAGATATGTCACCTAGCATTTAAGTATTTTGGATTTAAGCGGAAATAATAAGTTTCAGCAAGCTAGAACTCGCATTGAGCATATATAATAAGTAGTAAAACTAATATATATACATACGTGAGAAAACATAAGAGAATTGAAAGCAAGCATGCAAATGCAAAAACTATGTACAAATCTGAAAAAACAATTTTGCACCAGAACAATGTTGTCTTGTATATTATAAAAATTTGTTTCATTTAAGTGAGTAATGAGAAATTTGTTTGCAAAATTTTATATAAAACTATAAAACTATTTGTGTGAAGGATATATACAAAATGCCTTTAAAAAAAGAGCATTTTCAATATCTGCTTGAATTACTTTAGCCAATGACATATAGACATGTTAAGAATTATTGCTATTACTTGAAATTATGCTGTAATTTACAGTACTTAGTGTCCTATGAAATAGTATACATGAGTATTTATGTGTTCCAAAGAGATATATACTACAAACTAAATACATTGAGTTTCACTTGCTTACAGTGGTTTACGTTATTATAGAACTACTTGTAGGTTTCCTTAAGTGTAATTAAAGTTTTTTTCTGGATTATGTTATGATCGAGATTTCATATATTAAATCTATGTCTTCTATATGCTAATGTATAAGTATATAACTGCGGTTAGAGTTGTCAATAGATTGCAATTTTTTTACCTCTTAAGTATTCAGAGTAATTTTTACTATATAAATTGTTTCAATTTTATTTCTCTTTTTATTTAATTAAATCTTTTATAAAAATACCTAAAATTATACTTAGACTGTTGCGTACAACTTAAAATTTTACTATTCATATTCTCTATCATATCTCACTTCTTTAATTAGAGCAGGGCTCTCCAGACAAGAGATGCGATCTCGGGCCAATACAAATCACTGTACAGATGGAAGGCCCATAAAAACAAATTCATACATTCATAGTTGTTTTCAACAGAAATAAAAATACGATTATAATGTTTAATTTAATTTTACTAATTAAATTATTTAAATTAATTTATGTGATACACCATAAAAATAAAATAATGAGGTTTTACCAGTACAGCAAAAGATATTTTGCGTAATTGTGGTAGATTCAAAACTTGTAGCGGGCCGTGCTTTGGACAGTCCTGAATTATCACATTATTTTAGATTTATATTTAACATATATAACATATTGGTCATTAATAATACCATGATGACAATTTTTATTTAGATTTAATATTTACATTAGAATTGAAATTATAAATACAAATGTAGATATAAACAGACTATTTTTTTCTTAATTGTTTTGTTGAAAAAAACTAAAACTACCCTGAAGTGAATGTTGAAATTTCAGCAAAGGTATTCTGAATCTCATTTAGTTCAGAAAAAGAAATTGCAAATAATATACACTTAATACTTAGACATTCAAGTTTTTTTTAACTCAAAACAAGATCTATTTACAGACTAGATAGTGAGTTAGGGATAAAATTTTAATAATAATATAATCTATAAAGCGAAATCACATCAAAATACTCATAGTATCCCAAAAACTTTGAAGACTTGTTCCTTAGTTGTTGAATAAATTCAAAAGAATTTTTTTTATTACTACCAGTATGAGAA